TCTGCACCTCCCAGTCGCGAACCATTTCAACTCCCCCTCCCATTCCTCAGACGACATGTCCATCCTGGGCCTCCTGCAGTGCCACAACGATGCCACCCGAAGGTTGCAGGAACAGCAACTCATATTCCGCTTGGGAACCCTGCAGCCCAATGGTATCAATGTGGATTTCACAAGTTTCAAAATCTCCCCTCCCCCTACCGCATCCCAAAACCAGTCCAGCTCGTCCCTGCCTCCCTAACCTGTTCTTCCTCCCACCTATCCCCTCCTCCCACCTCAAGCCGCACCTCCATCTCCTACCGACCAACCTCATCCCGCCCCCTTGACCTGTCCGTCCTCCCTGGACTGACCTATCCCCTTCCTAACTCCCTACCTACACTCACCTTTCCTGGCCCCATCCCCGCCTCTTCGACCTGTTTGTTTCCTCTCCACCTATCCTCTCCTCTATCCCTCTTCTATCCGCCTCCCACTCTCTCCCTATTTATTTCAAAACCCCCTTCCCCTCCCCCTTTTCTGAAGAAGGGTCTAGGCCCGAAACGTCAGCCTCTCTGCTCCTATGATGCTGCTTGGCCTGCTGTGTTCATCCAGCCCTGCACCTTGTTGTCTCGGATTCTCCAGCAACTGCAGTTCCTACTATCTCTGATTCACTTTTACTTGAGTCCTTGAGCAATCCTTTAATAGGAGCTGATCCTTGGGATTCAGCTGGGACTATCCAGATCCTTAAAATCCACTTTTGTTAATGTACATCTCACATTCCCAAGGATTATCATTGACTAGGAACTTAACTGTGCTAGTCATATATACAAGGACTGCAAGAGGCCAGACATGGGTTGGAAACTCTAGCAAGGAACTCGCCCCTCGACTCACCAATCCCTGTCACTTTCTGCAAGGCAAAGTTAGGAGGGATGGAATGTTGTCCATTTATTTGGGTGAGTTCAGCTCCAATAATACACAGAAGCTTGAAACTGTCTAGGGAAAAAGTAGCTCGTTTGATCAGCATTCTGTTGACAACCTTAACTTTTCATTCCTTCCACTCTTGAACAAACAACCGTAGTTATGTACACCATGTATAAGATTGACTGTAGCAAGCTGCCTCTGACAGCTTGTGACCTGTACCATCTAGAAGAATGAGGGCAGCAGATGTATGAGAACACAACCATCTACAAGTTCCCTGCCAAATCACATGCCATCCTGACTTTATACTATACCACTGTTCCTTCGCTGTTACCATGTCATACACCTGGAACTCCTTTCCTAACACTGCTGTGTGTGCGCAAATACGAGATGGATCAAGATGATGACTCCCTACCATCTGTGTGAAAGTAATTTGGGATGAACCATAAAAGCTGCCCTTGTCTGCATGCTCATGTCCCATGATATAGTTGGAAGGAACCTCAGCCAATACTGATCACTTTAGAGTTGGGGGGTCAAAATTGACTCTAGGCCAGTCTGAAGTTGCATTTCCCCACTTAAAATGAATGGAGCTATTGGAGTGTACAAATCAGCATCTACAATGTGTGACTACAAAAAGTGAAGATCGTGAACCTGCCTCTGCAATTTGAAGAAAGTGATTGGAGCACTGGGCAAGAAATAGCTTTCCTCCCTCTCCAGGCTTACTCAAAGTGCCTATACTCACCATTCCCTGACCCTGAAAATTTTGCTGTTTGCTGATGCTGACCTTGTTTCTGTTCAATATGCAGGGAAGTGCAATACATTGTTTTGCAGAACATTGCAACAATGACTATACAAAACAAGGTATGTTTAAACTGGTTTTGATATAGACCAAGTTGTAAATGATCAATAGTTTTAGATTTTTTTTGTTTTTAAAGACTTTTGAAACTGGACAAATAATCTCTTTCCACAGGGGATGTTCGAGCCATATCTGAAAAGTTTTTACGTTCGATCCACTGATCCAACACAGATAAAAATTTTGAAGGTATGGCCTGTCATTTGACTGTCTGCTATTACTTCACCTTGCTTAAAACGTACAATTAGAATAGAGTTAATATGTGCAATAGACCTGGTCAATTTAGATCAACTAGAAAGAAATGTTCTAACAGTTCTCTGCTTGGAGTTGCAAATAAATCTTGCTGGTTAGATACAACTATTTGACATGTGTAATGTAATATTAAGTATAAATCAAGCAGTTGAAAAAAGTTGCTGTGTGCTGTTTGTAGTACCTCAAGTCAAGCGAACACTAAACTATAGATGGATTTGCTTAACTTGATCTAAAAACAAAAACTTTCTTTATTGACATTGACTTGATTCACTTCAAAGTTGATTTATATTTTTGGGTGCAGTGCAGGTTTCCTATCAAGAATACGTTTACCAAACATCATCATCAAAATGATTTTAAATGGCAGAGCAAGCTTGAGGGGCCAAATGGCCTACTTCTGTCCCATTTCTTATGGTTTTTGTGCAACATGTTTGACAAGTTGCCAATAGAATTTAAAATTCCTTTCTGGCTGGGACTAACTAAGAAGTTTAATGGTCCTTTTTGTTCACGAGAGCACTTACATTTGCAAATGGAGTTAAAAAAAACTGTTGCAACTGACTTAAACACCAACTGCTGGCTTTTAAAAATTCATTCTCGGGATGTGGGTGTCACTGGCTAAGCCACCATTTATTGCCCACTCCTAATTGCCAAGAGGCAGTTAGGAATCAACAATATTGTTCTGGGTTTGGAGTCGTCCATTAGCCAGACTAGGAAAGGAGGACCAGCATTGGTGAACCAGATGGGTTTTTACAACAATAGACACATGATCACCATTAGTTTAGTTTTTATTTCCAGATTTTTTTTGAATTCACATTTTATAATCTGCCATGTTGCTATTCAAAACTATTTCCCCTGAGTAAATTCAAGGTTCTGGATTAAAAAGCTCCTAAATCTACTTAGGCAACCTATCTCAATATTCATGCATTTTCATTTTCATGACAGTACAACAATATTTTTGAAAGTAGTCCTAATTATGGCTTTTGAAATTCTTAATATAACTTCTGGCAAAGGCTTCCATAAAATATTTCAACTCAAAATCATTTACCATTGAAAGTTATTCTGAGTTTTATTGGTAAAGATTTACATTGATTAGAAACCTTCAGTGAATGAGCAATGTTATCCAAATTATTTTTCTTTGTTAATTGTGATTCCTATACAATATAGACACCTTTTTTCCCTCGCCCATTGAAATGTGAACTAAACTAGCTAATACAAAAAAAATCTTGCAAAACCTGAGCCAATCTGTTTAGTTGGGACAAAATATTTTTTAACATTTGGTTATCTCCTTCCTGTTTGCCACCTGCCTTCAGTTTAGCGGAATGAGCATGCTTTATACTAAAAGTCAGCCTGTGTTTAACTGCTCACCTCCATTCTAAACAGCAGTGAATCAGTGCAATCCTGTTCAGGACTCTGGTAAAATCACTATTTTCTATCCCCCTCTCCCGACACTTAGTCTGCTGAGGAAGAAAATAACCACTTTACAGAAAATGCAGTAAATGTTCAGTAATTTCTTTACTTTTGTTTGCAAGTAGCAGAGTATTTGTGAATTTTACTCTCCTGTACTTGTATTAATGCATGGCCACAGTTCTTTTTGTTATTCCTTGAGATGAAGATATTTTCTTGTTCTATATAGCTCGAAATTCTAACAAACCTGACCAGTGAAACCAACATCTCTATAGTGCTACGAGAATTTCAGGTGGGTACAGTCACAATTATTGCCTGATTTGACTGACTGCATGTGATCCTTTTCACCTAATTTTTAATGTTGTGTTCAGGATATGGATCCTGAACACATGTAAAATGCTTGCCTTGTGTATGACTTGCTTGAATTTAATTTAACAGAGTAGTCTTCTGAAAGTTTCAGGTAAAGAAGTTCATTATAAACATGTATTTTCTGCCTGTTATATCTCCCATTCATGCATGTACCATTCCCCACTGGATGACAAAAAAGGTGATCTGTTCTCAGGATTCTACTGTTGCTGCTCTTGAAACAGATAGAAAATGGTTTGCAAAAGTTGATAGATCCGTAACTCTCGACATGAGGTAGGTAGGGTTAAACACACCTCTGCTTACTGCAGTCAGAGATTACCTGAGAACAGGAAATCGTAGCTGTGACACTCCATCCTGCCACTTGGTGGCAATGTGTCAATGCATCTCAGTTTTAATCAGTTACCCAACTTTAAGGTATTTTTAAGAATGTATTTCACATTCATTTAGCACATTGCTAAGTTACAGCATTTGAATTAGTATGTGAAGTTAATAATCAAAAATGACTTTTTCTTAATAAAATCCCTACACTTTCTGTGTAATGTTTTTGTCGTGGGGCAATAGGGTGTGCAGAGGTACACATCAATCTAAATAATTGGATTTTTCTTTTCCTATTTCTCTCCATGCTTAGACCTATGTGAAAAGTCAGGACAAGCAATTTGCTGCAGCCACAATTCAGGCAATTGGAAGATGTGCCACCAATATTTCTGAAGTTACAGATACGTGTCTTAATGGGTTGGTGTATCTGCTTTCTAACAGAGATGGTAAAACATTGTTTATTGCATGTTTACAGTTGATTTTAAAAAAAAAAACTCATTAATTTGAATGAACTCTAATTTCTTTTAGAAAAAGCGGCTTTTTAATTGAAATTAATGAGCTGTATCATTTCCTTGGAAGAATTCATTGTCCAAGCAAAATCATGCTGTGACACGGTACTCGGACTGATTTTTCATCAGAAGATAACGTTAGCTAGCTATTCTCTCCAATTAGAGCAACTGGTGACTCCCATATGCTGAAATACATTGCTTGTGATTAGGAGTTTACGATCCAGCATTTAGATGCAGGTTAGCATTATTCTCGGGGTTTAAATCGGAGACCTCCATGACAGAATTGCCTAAAACGGAAAAGCATCCTAATAAACCTTTGAGTGAGATGTATGAGTTATTGACAACATCAGAAATTGCGGGAAAAATCAGATCTGGCAGCATCTGTGGAGAAAAAGCAGAGCTACCATTTTGGATCTGGTGATCCTTCAGAACTGATTGTAGCTTGGAAAAGATTGGTAAATATGTTAGAGAAAGGGCGAGGGGTGGGAGGGAAAGGAGTAAACGATAAGTGGAGATGGAGCCTAGAGAGAGAGAGAAACATTTGGGCAGACAAAGGTAAAGGTCAGCCTGGGAGAATGAATAGAACATAGAACATTACAGCGCAGTACAGGCCCTTCGGCCCTCTGTTGCGCCGACCTGTGAAACCAACCTGAAGCCCATCTAACCTAAACTATTCCATTATCATCCATATGTTTATCCAATGACCATTTAAATGCCCTTAAAGTGGGCGAGTCTACTATTTTTGCAGGCAGGGCATTCCACGCCCTTACTACTCTGAGTAAAGAACCTACCTCTGACACCTGTCCTATATCTATCACCCCTCAATTTAAAGCTATGTCCCCTCGTGCTAGCCATCACCATCCGAGGAAAAAGGCTCCCACTGTCCACCCTATCTAATCCTCTGATCATCTTGTATGTCTCTATCAAGTCACCTCTTAACCTTCTTCTCTCTAACGAAAACAGCCTCAAGACCGTCAGCCTTTCCTCATAAGACCTTCCCTCCGTACCAGGCAACATCCTGGTAAATCTCCTCTGCACCCTTTCCAATGCTTCCACATCCTTCCTATAATGCGGTGACCAGAACTGTACGCAATACTCCAAGTGCGGCTGCACCAGAGTTTTGTACAGCTGCAACATGACCTCACGGCTCCGAAACTCAATCCCTCTACCAATAAAACCTAACATACCGTAAGCCGCCTTAACAATGCTATCAACCTGGGTGGCAACTTTCGGTGATCTATGCACATGGACACCGAGATCTTTCTGCTCATCCACACTACCAAGAATCTTACCATTAGCCCAGTACTCTGTATTCCTGTTACTCCTTCCAAAGTGAATCACCTCACACTTTTCCGCATTAAACTCCATTTGCCACCTCTCAGCCCAGCTCTGCAGCTTATCGATGTCCCTCTGTGACCTACAACATCCTTCTGCACTATCCACAACTCCACCGACTTTGGTGTCATCCGCAAATTTACTAACCCATCCTTCTACGCCCTCATCCAGGTCATTTATAAAAATGACAAACAGCAGTGGCCCCAAAACAGATCCTTGAGGTACACCACTAGTCACTGAACTCCAGGATGAACATTTCCCATCAACCACCACCCTCTGTCTTCTTGCAGCTAGCCAATTTTCTGATCCAAACCGCTAAATCCCCCTCAATCCCATGCCTCCGTATTTTCTGCAATAGCCTACCGTGGGGAACCTTATCAAACGCTTTACTGAAATCCATATACACCACATCAACCGCTTTACCCTCATCCACCTGTTTGGTCACCTTCTCGAAGAACTCAGTAAGGTTTGTGAGGCACGACCTACCCTTCACAAAACCGTGTTGACTATCCCTAATCAAATTATTCCTTTCTAGATGATTATAAATCCTATCTCTTATAATCCTTTCCAACATTTTACCCACAACCGAAGTAACGCTCACTGGTCTACAATTACCAGGGTTGTCTCTACTCCCCTTCTTGAACAAGGGGACAACATTTGCTGGTCTCCAGTCTTCTGGCACTATTCCTGAAGACAATGACGACATAAAGATCAAAGCCAAAGGCTCTGCAATCTCCTCTCTAGCTTCCCAGAGAATAGTTGCTAATTGGGACCATTAGGACCTGACAATGGGCTGTGTGCAGCAGCAGCCCATGTGATGACAAGGCAGAGTGTGTGAGGGTTGGGGTAAAGACGTTGGAGAAGTCCTCAGACCCTATGATTTATTGCTTTTGATAGAGTCCAGAAGATTGCAGGATTCCCAAGCGGAAAATGAGGTGCTGTTCTTCTAGCTCGCACTGAGTTTCGCTAAAGCACATAGCAGGCTCGAGACACATGTTGGCCAGGGAACATGTGTGTATGTTGAAATGGCCGGCAACTGGAAGCTCAAGGTCACTTTTGCGCACACAACGTCTGTGTTCTGCAAAGTGGTTGCCCAGCCTGTGCTTCATCTCACCAAGGTAAAGAAGACCACATTGTGAGCAGTGATCCACAGTGGGTGACTGAGAGGGAGAGGCATCACTTGGGCACATACGTTAGAGCCTGAAAACAGTCACCTGCATTGAAGAGCAGATTATCATGGGCCTGGTATCAAGGTGTACTTAAGCCCAAACGTTGCATCACTGAGGTGTTTCCCGCCCTCCTCCTCTAACCAGAAAAAGGGGTGAGAGACATGCTATTGAAAATTGGTTGGTACCAGAGCAAGAAGTAAGGCTCGAGAGGCTTTGGTGAGCAACGGCTCAACAAAAAGTACAGGTAAACTCGGGTCTTAAAATCTTTAGTCTTGGAGCATTTGAGATGGTAGTTAGGGTAGTGGCGTGCTCCTGTTGCAGGATGTAGGAGCTCGGGTAGACTTCCATCATCGCTGATGACTACACCTGTGGGAAGTGCACCCAGCTGCAGCTCCTGGGGGACCATGTCATGGAGATGTACGCACTCAGGAGCATCTTGGATGCTGAGCGCATCATAGATAGGAGTTTTAGCGAGGTGGTCGCACCTAAGGTGCAGGCAGAGAGTAGTTGGGTGACCACCAGGAAAAGCAAAGGGAGTAGGTAGAGTGCAGGAATCCCCTCTGGCCATTCCCCTTGAAAACAAGCATACCATTTTGGATAGTGTTGTGGTTGACCGATCGGGGAAAGCACCAGTCGCCAGGTTGGTGGTATGACAGCTGGCTCTGGGATACAGCGGGAAAGGGTAAAGGTAAACAGAACCTTAGTGATAGGCGATCCGATAGTTAGTGGTACAGACAGGAGGTTCTGTGGCCGCAGGCGGGAATGCAGGATGGTGTGTTGATTCCCAGATGCCAGGGTCCGGGATGTCTCGAAGCGACTGCAGAACACTCTCAAGGGGAGAGTGAGCAACCAGAAGTCATTGTGCACGTTGGCACAAGTGACATAGGTAGAAATAGGGATGAGATCCTGCGGAGCGAGTGTAGAGAGCTAGGAACAAAGTTAAAAATCAGGACCTCGAAGATGGTAATTTCTAGGTTACTTACAATGCCTTGTGCTAGTGAGGTTAAGAACAGGAGGAAATGGCAGATGAATGCGTGGCTAAAGAATTGGTGCAAGGTGGCAGGGATTCAGATTCCTGGATCATTTGGGATGTTTTCTGGGGCAGAGGTGACCTGTTCGAGAGAGAGGTTGCACCTGAACTGGAGACCAGTATTCATTGACAGATTTGCTAGTGCTGCAAGGAACGGTTTAAACAAGATTAACAGGGGAGTGGGGTCCTCAAAAACAGGGAGGCAACTGTAAGGCTGGTAGAAGATACAGTAATCAGAAATAACAAGTTGAAGAGATAAATCAGGTTGGAACAGAACAGGGAGCGAGGAATGCCTGTTAGATTAAATTGCATCTATTTCAATGCAAGAGGGCTGACAGG